CGCTGACGAGGCGGAGGCCGCGGCGGTGGGTGCGAGCGGGGCCGGCGGAGGCGGCGCGGGGCCGCTCGGATCAACGGCTGCGGCGGGTGCGGCGGACGGGCGGGCGGGGGTCGCGGCGCTCCGGGCGGGCCGGGCAGGGCTTGCGGCGGGTGCTGCGCTCGGCGGGGTCGGGCTCGCTCTTATGTCTCCTCTCGGCTGCGCCGGGTCCGGGGGCTTCGCTTCACCGGGTTATTTTATATCAAACCGGCCGTTTGCAGAAAGGTTGTTCAGGGAGGTTGGATGAGGAGAGAGGATTATTATTTTTTTTAGAAAGGCTTTTTTAAGATTTTTGGATTTTTTTTGGCTTTTTTAGGTATTTTTTTTAGTAATAAATGGTGCTGCGGGGCCGGGCCGGCGTGTCCGGGTGTTCCGGAGCACACGCACTGCGCACACAGCTCCGACGGCGGCCGGGGGACAAGGGGGCGGCCACCGCCCCGGCCGCGCTCTATATATACCCGCCCCGCCCCCCGCCCCCGCCGCGCCGCGCGCCACGCACCGCACCGCGCACGCGTACTGCGGCCAGGGGCGGAGACACGCGCCACGGCCGGCACCGGGAGGAGGCTCCGGCGCATGCGCGAGGGCGCGGCGGCGAGGAGGGGCGGCCGAGCACGCGGCGCGCCTGCGCAAGGATGGCGTCACGAGGGGCGGTGCGCGCGGGGGGACGGCCGGGCGGCAGAGCGCGTGCGCGGGGGAGCGCGCACACGTGCGCTGTGCGGGGGGAGGCGCGCGGGCCCGAGTGCGCGTGCGCGCCGGGCGGACCAACGGCGGGGGGCGCGCGGGCGGGGGGTTAGCGGCCAATGCGCGTGCGCTGCGCGCCGCGCCCCGCCCCGGGGAAGGGTGCGCGCGGGCCCGGAAGGGGGCGGGGCCTGTGCGGGCGCTGTGCGCGTGCGCGGGACGGGAGCGGGATCGGGGCACGGAGGGAAGGTTGGGGCTGGGGCGGGTTCGGCTCGGGTGCTGTCAGCGAGCAATGAGCTGCTCCAGCGAGCAATCAGCTGCTCCTGGGGGCGTCCGCGCTCCGCTATGGCAGTTCCTGGCAGTTACACGTGCTTTACCGCTGTGCTTTGTGCCCAATGCTGCAGTTCCGGCTGCAGGCTGGGTGGCACCGGGAGCTTCCCGAGCATCTTTGTGCGTGTGGCGTGTCCGCCGTCATCCCGAGCGGTTCTCGGCGGTGGTATAAGGCAACGATAGAAGTTTGTCAGATCAGTGTCGTGACCTGTGCCCTATACGGAATTTTTCAAGGAGAATCGCGTACAGAATCACAGAATGAATTAGGTTGGAAAAGACATCTGGGATCGTCGACTCCAACCTGTGACCGAGCACCATCCTGTCAACAAGACCATGCCACTGAGTGCCACATCCACGCCTTCCTTAAACACTAAGGCAGTCCTGTGGATTTTGGAAAACCTGTGACAGGCATACTCTTAGGGAGCTTCTCTAGTCCTAAAAAAAACCCTGAAGCCTTTCACAAGAAGTGAAAATATTTTCCTATCATTTGGAATTCTGTAGGGTTTTTTTATTACCAGCTGATTAAACATGTTTCAGGTTCTGACAAAATATGAAATCAAATGTGCTCTTTCCTGCTAAACAAATGTGCAAGTACTTGCACTTGTACTAAACATTACTACAAGTGTAAAGACAAGAAGCCAGATTGTGGATATGCAGAAGTCTTGGGGATAACAGCTCTATTATGTTTAATGTAGTTTTTCTTCTGTGTGTCTTTTTCTCTTGTTTGTTCTTTACACAGCTTCAAGAGAGCGACAATGATCTGCAGTTTTGCACCTCATTTTATTGTGTTGTTTTATATTCCATACGTTGTTTTATTCATCTTTGACCAGCATTTGCCATTGCAGGTTCAGATAGAGCCAGAGAGACGGAGTGCTTTGCTGTCATGTGTGAGGGATCCCCTTGCCCTCAGCAGCTGCTGCAGTTTCACTGCCCTTGTTGGAGGTGACCAACCCCTGGCAGAGTTGTCATCTCCCCGTGTCCCCTGGCAAAATGTGACGTCCTCGTTCAGCCCCCACCCCGTGCTGGCTTTGAACAGGTACTGACGTGCACCTGGAGCAGCTGACAAATGAACAAGACCTGCTGTACTGTGGTGGCTTCTCTTGGATGAGTAAAGCAGGTGGACAGAGTCAGCAGGTTCTTATAGTGAGGCTTGATGT